TGATACATGTAGGAGATCTAATATCATACGATATGCGCAAATGCAGTATTATATATCACGCAGGAAATGACAATTTCTTACATCATCGCTATGAAATAGTTATCACCTCCAAGCGTTTGTAAAAACAATGGGATCAGATGGAGACACTTTCTGTTGGATTAGAGCAAACAGGCACACATATGCTGTGCGGTGGTACACTTATATCATCAATGTTCCTCCAACTGGAACGGAATTGTAATTATTTAATGCTTTTATTTAGAGTTTGTTAATTAAAACAGAGAAGTCCGATAGCAATTTGGGAAATATTGTTTTCATCGACAGATGTTGCTATGATTGCACAAACATCGCATCTTATACAATAGCTATTCATTTTCAGTAAAACGACAATGAATTGTAAAAACAAGTCTACATAAATTTTTATCAGAATTTAGATTCCAATTTGCAGCATCAGTCGGCGGTATTCCAGTGAGAGATGGTGTTCAATAGAAACAGTGTAAATAGACACTGGGAATTAAATCAGTAACGTGGGCCTCACTATCACACCAATTAAACCGTGTCTTACAGATCCAATCTATATCATAGGAATAATGTTACCGTGACAGGTTTAATTCAATCCTAGACAGACTTATCGTGTAACTCTCTGGGTTTTTTAGCCCCAGGTTATCACTTAAATTTTAACGTAACATTTAACATGAATCGTTACACACGCAAAGTGTTAAAGCACTCACTTTAAATGTCACGTTCATATATAGATTGAAACTTTCTTTTTTACCAATATTTTAGTAGTATAAATATGATAATATTATTTAATAGTGGAGTCAAGAATGTCTTTGGGCTCATAGCGATACAAGAGATTGTTTTAAACGACTATGTATGGTGTGTGCCCTTTATTGCCTTTTATTCCCCCTTAATCCACCAAAGACAAAACATTTTGTTGAATTTTCAAATTCATGGATTTGTTTTTTTTCATATTCTGAATATTGAATATTTCTCCAATTCTATTATTGAAATTATCGAAGAAGAGGGATTCGACAATTTAAAAGACTTAATATAATTTCGGAATTTTGATGATTTTAGGGCCAAAAAAGTCCAAACAATATACAGTCCTTTTCATTTGTATATTAGCATTTGTGTTGTAAGTTGATAGTGCTAACTGACGAAACGAAAACGTACAATTACATCAATGGAATAAAATAAGACAGATGAAAGGTCTGTTGTAATGACATTTGTATTAAAATTATCAACACTACCATGTGTAGGAGTGTTGTTCACAGTTGAAATCGCTTTACCGACTATACAAACTAATTGAACGGCATTTTTAATTGTCGCGTCGGTATGACTTTTCATGACTAATGAATGGAGGATTTCAAACTAGTTTCCATCACATGTTAATTCCATTACAGGAACCTCAGAAAACATTACCAGGAGTCAAATGGAATGGGCAAGAGTTTGAAGTTTTGTTTATCATTTGATGTACCATTAACTGTTTCTGTACGATCGTTGGAGCCTATGGTAAGTTTAGTTTTCGCAATTATTTTCTTCGAGAATGATCCGTACGTACTTTATGTATCCAGAAAGCCTAAACCTGAATTGTTCTCTAAGCAGAAAAATACATTTTGTTCGAATTCAGCAATGCAATATTCATCTGCCATTTTTACTCAGTTTTGAAGATTTAACAAACTACCAAATTGTCATAACATCAGTAAGATATATAATTCATGAATTTCACATATACTGAATAGTTCGATAAAATTACATTAAGTAACTTAATTACACTGCCCATAGGATTGAGCGTTTTTTCTTTGGGGTTGTTTATGCGGATGAAAAGAATTAACAACTGAATACCCGTGCCAATGGTCATCGATACAAGATTAATCACAATGATAATTGAGTTATCTGTCTATACAATATTTCAGTTTACTGATGATATCCGTGAAAAAATCCATGGGAAACATAGTCCCAGGCTTCCAACAGCCCCAGTCAAAGCACTCCTATGGCTGATTAGGGAATACGTACTACAAGGTACCACGTAAACGATAATTGAGCACTGCATGTTTGTATGAATGTAATTAAATATTGATAGTGCTTATCATGTGTATTGTCCTGCTCTTTGATGAAATACAATATATAAACAAGTGAACCAAACCAGCAGTACAAAAGGACACAATCTGAACTCGAAATTGATAGAAAAAATAATAAGGTATATTCACGTGAGTACAGCCATCAGCATCGGGATTATACGGCTTCAGTGACTAGAATATCATTTGACTGCTAACTGGAACATCTAAAGATAATACAGATAATTTTGCAAGGAGATAAGTCATAATGAAAACGCATAATGACTAATTCACATGTATCCGTACATTTAAGTCAAATGTTCGGCAATTCGTTAAGCTCAGTTTTGCTATTCATAAAATAGACGCAATTAACATCGGTTATAGTGCAAACAAATCGCCAATGACAATAAGCAAAGCAAGCAAGACTGACTAAATGTATAAAAATACAATTCGTTTGTGATTTTGCCTGTGCACTGTACAAAACAGGTTAAGATATACTCATGCTTGTGCACTCAGCCTTCATGATCAATTGCAATATTCTCTATGAAAATACATATCACCATTCTGGACATTTGAAGCATGTTCTTACAATTCTCTCGATGACAGTCACTTCATTGGCACATCGGGAATACATTTTTTCCAATATTTTCAAGTGAAATGATGAGCCTAAATTAGATTTCTGACACTGATGTCCCCGGATTGAATGGCAGGTTGCAGGTTGTACTGGCTGAAAAGAGCTTCGGCCAACATTATACAACCTCATCCTCTTTTTTTTCACAATATAATAATGGCATTTTGTCCTTAGAAAGAAGGTAATTTAATATTACAAGCATCGGATACATTCCAGTGCCCTTTTATAATTGAAAGATAAAACAGAGTTATCTTTTTCATCAAATACTATATCTTGTAATTTACATGCACTTTGTTGTGAATACCCTTTCCTAAACAGTACCATGCAAGCGTCAACTTCTAAACAGTTTTATGTCATCCTTCCCGACTCAAGCGTGATTTCATTGTGATTACTTAATCCTAATTTTCTACCCGTTGTTTCGGAAATTTCAAGGTGGTCATCATAACCTAGATTCGAACAGTGGAATGATTGCGTATTTTCTAAATGTATGTTATCTGTATGTTAGATGGTTTGCGAAAAACACAATAAGTGCAATCCACGACAATTTGCCAGAGGCGCTGATGAAGATTAGTCTGGATGAGTTCCAGCAGGCTGAAATTGAATTCCAAGTCAGAAAAGGAAAAAAGAATGAACAAATCGGAGCACTTCTTCTTTGGAGATATAACACCAGAGCAAAATTGAACCCATTCTCTTATTTCAAACTACTTGTAAAAAAAAATCCAGCTTACAGCTTGCACATCATAGAAAGGACATTTATGATGGTAGGGGTCCGTTGTCAGCAGTCACTAAATCAAGTCGGGAAGATCAAGTGCATCCATCATGATTCATCACCACAGACTCCTGCAAGACATGGACCGTCTTTGTAGGAGATATAACACCGAGCGCTGGCACATCCTACATAAACACGTGTGTGTGTGTGTTTTTTTAAATTTGTATGCGCTATAAAAAATGCGCATATTCCTATTTGTTTATGTGTAGAATCTTTTTTTTAATATAAATATTAAAATGTATACTGTATTAGGTCTCATTATTCCGCTAACGTCGATTTAATAATGTAACCTTTGATTAGTTGTTAACATAGGTGTTTTTGTAAGGAACATGCTTTTTATTGCTATGAAGTCTGTGTGACAGGTCGTTTCGTCAAAAGACTTGAAGTGATGGGCCCTAACATGTACATATCTACAAGGTAAACGGCTATGTAAAAGGTGTAAACGAGGTCGGTTTGTACAGAGGGAGTCTGCTGTAGGACTGAATCAACAAGTCTGGACACAGTGCTAAGATCTGTTTGGCATTGGATTCTATGAAAATGTAATTACCACGTACCTTCCCTGACACCACTATCATGCGAGAATACGGAGTCGACACTTGAACGCAGTGTACGTCACTCTGCTGTTAGCACGACCGGGCGGCGGGACGTTCATTTATCCGATCGGACCAATCTCGTCAATTTGTCTTCGCTATAATGTCACATCTGATAGCGTTCTACTGCCTTCGAATGTCAGCATCCACTCAGAATCACGCACTCACTTTCATTCGGAAATTGCCCACTCTGTAAGAAGCTGGAATTTTGTAAAAAGGCTACAAGGCCAACGTTGGAAATAGAATATAACATAGAAGACATTTATCAGTGGATGTCGTAACTGGACCCTATTATCGATGAAGTAATAACTTTCAGGAAACTTAAATGTGTAAAATACGCGAAATCTTAATAGCTGTGCGCATTGGTTATTGGAGTGTCGCAAGCGGGAGGCAATATTAGCCCCATTTCTATCAATTGTGCTGCTTTGTAGGCAAGGGATCGATAAGTAATGTTTATAACTATCAAAGCAATACAACATTGCTATCTATCTCCATTTAGGACCGTTAACAATTAATGACTCTATGTACAGCATGTATCATTCAACTTTTTAAACCTTCCGTTGAGTAGAAGGACGTCAAATCGGTCTCTATTAGCGGTTGTCGGCACCGCCTCGGTGTTCATTGCTCGGGATAGACGTTTTACGATAGGTGTTGACTACACATGGTAAAGATAATGTTCGCTGTCGTCCAACTGTCAATAGCCTGATTTGAAGTAGCGAATTGCTTTCCGTTGCGTGTGATATTGGAACTTGTTACATAACACCAGCAATGTACCACGTGAATGAGTTCAGTACAGTCATACCTGTTTTGGGAAACTATTTATTTTTCACTTCTAAACTCGAATCACGGTAAGTTGAAAGTAACATGAGAAATAGGAAATAGATCGCGCATATTATTTATTTGTTTATTTCATTTTTTCTTTTTATTCTAAAGTAAATTCTTTTGCATGAACAATGGATGAAGATATTTTGGTAGCCGCCACTAATGAAAACACAACACTTTTCAATGACAGTGCTAATGGAACTGATGCCAAGGATTCCGAGATGGTGTCTACAGAGTGGGTAGTATTTCTATCTCTCCTGTATTCACTGACCACTCTTCTGTCTATCGTCGGTAACGTCTTGGTCGTCATCGTTTTTGCACGCGGACGGAGATCGCGGACAGACTTACGTCCGTTTCTCATCAATCTTGCCGTGGCGGACCTGATCATGGCGGTCTTCTGTATGCCTTTCACATTCGGAGATACCATCTATAAAAGCTGGTTATTCTCGGAACCAATGTGTCCAATTGTGTTGTTCATACAAACGCTGTCTGTGTCCGCTAGTGTGTTCATCAACGTGGCGGTCGGAGTAGACAGGTTCATTGTTGTTGCCTTTCCTCTCTACTCCAAGGCGTCACAGGCCCGTTCAAAACAGGTCATAGTGGCCACCTGGATACTATCTATAAGTATAGCATCGGCCGTCGTGCCATTTGCTCACACACAACGAATAAGAAATACCACCAGGATCAAATGTTCCGAGATTTGGCCATCGGTTCAGGTTCAAAGGTTCTATTCAGTGGCATTATTTGTAATAATATACCTGCTACCGTTACTGGTCCTGTCCGTAGCTTATAGTATCGTAGGATTCGTGCTGTGGAAAAGGACGACGCCAGGAAATCGGGATCAAATGAGAGACATGTTACAACTGCGGTCAAAAATAAAGGTAAGGCAATCTTTCTTTTTGTGTCTGTTAAATTGTCCTTTAACAATAACATATATAAGCTTTATTTAGTGCACTATACGTTTTTTTTAATCAAGGTATTGTTTCTTTGACATGTTGATATGTTTAATTGATGCTGTAAGCGACGTCCTCGTACAAAATGAGGATTGTCTTTGCGTTGATGGATGATGTGTTAGTCGAAAAAAGCTAATTGGTTTAATAATTTTGTTCTGGTGACAATTGTTAATGCCTAGAGAGACCAAACATGTGGTACTTAGTTTATTTGTGGTGAAATAAACACCTATTTGTCTAATGAGCTACAAAGTTTCAAAATAATATCGTGTAATACAATGTGCATGTAAATCTGATAAAACAATATATATTTCCCAAGTGATGACGGTTACATCTGGTGTCATTAAGTAGGTGTTTCAAACGTTTTAATTCAGTAAAAAGCGTCCCGATTGCATTTGACTGTTTGAAGTCACAATCATACAAACTGCACGGTTAAATATTTATTCTGTATGATTTCACTGAAAGAGGTTTGGTGTCTGGCAGGACAATGACACTTCAGTTTCTGTGCAAATAGCCAACTTCCTAATGGATAGGATTCTGTTTTGTATCTCAAACTTTTATAAAACTTGGCATGTATCAGTTCTAAGCCCTCGTAAACTATCCATCATATCCGTTTTACAGTGGCAAAGCAAAATCTCCAATATGACAAAAATGCACTCGGTCTGAAAGTACATCCGTCTAGATTATGCATATTTAGAAGGAAGGATTTCTGTTTGATCATAACTTACTTAGATTATAACAAGCGTTAAAAAGTTACTAGGTACAATAACAAACCATAAACATCAGCATGAGTTTGTTGATATGAATCTGATTCCGTTCGGAAATGTATTTTCGATTCCTGCTGGAACCGTTCCTCAATAAATCCAAATGTAATGCCCCCTTGTGGACGACACGCTGATGCGTGGTAGGACAGGATTGTTACTGTCAGTTTTGTGTGATAAAATACTTAAACGCTGCACAACCCATTTAGAACCACTTAGGTAACCTATCAGAACGGAGGCCATACAATCAATACAACTTACTTTTTCTTAAAATGTAAAATGAAACATATTCATACAAGAGATATTTTATCATAGTAATAGCATTTCACGGTTTTATTGTTTAAATGAATAATATTTTTCATCTTAGACAATCATTAAATAATTCCTATCGGAATATGCGATCGCGATTCAAAGGTAAGGTCATGTGACTAGGGGCTCGTTAAACACACATTACATTAAACAAGTTTAGTAACCTCTTTTACTAGGGATATCAAAACGATAAATATGTTTTGGAAACGATATCTTTCAGATTTGGTGTCTCCGTAACTTATTGATGAAAGACCATGGGCTGACGAGGGACTAAGTTAAGACTATTCCACACGTTTTATTATGACAACAAAACATAATGTGACGTTTCCGTCGATGCAGTCCTGATAAATTTGTCATGGGCTAGCAAAGGTGTTAATGGAGACCACGAAAGTACATTGTTAAAAGAATGAGGATCTCAAATGAAAATTTCAACGTCTGTTAAAAAGAGGACACATTTATCATACGTAAGCCAAATAATGTAGGCCCTTACGGGACTTCCCCTTTCATATCGAACATGTTGTAAGATACATAAGGAACCTGCTAGGAATATGTGACAATTCGAATCCTATAGGGTATTTACATAACTCCTGTATCTGCCAGAGAACGGATCGTTAGAAAATCGCTATCCACAAAGGATTACGTTTAACTTGTTTTATACACGAGCGGTGCCTGGAGTAAAACAGAACAAATTTTCCACAGCGTCACCCTGAGACACCATCTGAATGCAATATCATTATAGGTAGACAGCCTCAGGCCGTAAAGAGGTATACAAACAAAGCACAACCAAAACAAAAGACCTCATGATACATCACAAAAAAAGAAAATACACTCAAAATATATATAATATGTGCCTGTTGTGGTTTTGATTTAGTGGTATTGAGTACAAAATGAGATGAAAGTGAAAGAAACTCAGGAAATTCATGTTATTTTAGAATCTAAAACTTCAAAGAAACCTACTTAATCGATCGGAGACTTGCCTGGTCCCAGAGGTTAGAGAGGTAAAACATGTACTATTTTAAGGGTGTGGCAACAGTTCCTTTTCCGAGGGGTAATATTATTGATTTCTAAGCCAAGGCTCTGCCTTGGTTTAGACATTTATAGGTACAAAAGTACACCACCCTTGGGTCGTATTCCTCACTGTATTACCATTGAAACTCAGGGATGACTTTTTTACTTCCATCGTGTATTTTCACTTACATTTTCCCCGACAGTAACAGAATGTTTGATAACGAAATAATGTAAGATGTATGAATGAAAACTTCTTAATAATTACCTTTAATAACATAACATTATGTTATCACGTCATAGTTTGCATAGAGCTATTTCAACTCCACGTTTCGATATTTTTTTCCTCCAGAGTACAATGAATAATAACAATTCCTAAACCAATCAGATATTAGATATGTAGTTTAGCCTGCTTCGCTCGCAAATGGTCTCTAAACACATATACAAGTAGTTCGGTTTAAACCTCCTGTTTAGCTAACGCAGCTTTGCACGAAGCTACAAACGTATCCTCAAACTGAACTTCAAAGGATTGAACAGGAGATATACGTATGAAGGAGGACACAGAAGGTATAATCAATCTCGTGTAAAGATCAATGTAGCGTCAACACCTTCACTTCATAACTCCTTGGACAACCTAAGTTATATTTGAAACCCCAGTCACCCTGTCAAATGTATCGTGTAGTAAGACAACCCCCAATCTGTATGGTCCGCAAACCATCAGCAGATTTGTTACAAGGGACATGTGCAGTTATGGAAGCTACAGGAAGCATGTCAAGTCCCTGAACCCTAGGGACATGTGCGGTCCCCGAACTTACTGCCGTGATGTGAACTTCCTGAATGCGCTTTAAACATGTCTCAGATACTACAGATGGCATGTGAAGTGTCCGAGCGTACAAAGAACGTATTAGGAACCTACGGAGTTATGAAAATATTTCCTCGAATAATAAAGAACTGGTAGCGTCCCAAAATCTGCAAGAGACCAATCATAATAAAATGTAATTGTGGCTATCAATAAACATTGGATGTCCACAACTATAACAGTCATTGTTTTAGCGTATCTATATAAACACACTTTATACGCATGGAAATCATACTATCTACAAAGAAATGATTATGGATTATTTTAGTTTCACGGAATTTTTGACAAAATGGCCTGAACAGGCAGTGATTGTATTGGATTCGCCATGTAACCAATCGTCCTCCTACTGTTACATGCCGGTAGCAATGCAGTGCACCCGATCAATATATCGAAGTACTGCAAAACGTGATTGTATTATCTCAACAACTGCTCAAGTCTGGAAATTCTCATCTACATCATTGATTTAATGGAAAATGATAAATATTTCCAACACATTTTTAATTTAATATACGATGCATTTCCGACGAATACAAAAAATGTAATATAAACCCGACAGAGTCAACAAACATGCCCAAATCAGATCTCATAGGCTAAGAGAAGCTGAGTAAACAAGTTTATTTGGTTTTCTCAGATACGCTACTCATAGTAATATAGTAGTGAGAATATATATTGATAGTCGGCAACGTCCTAGTTACAATAGTCTTTCATACACATTCATTACATTCTATTCGATACGGATTCGGTTAGGACACCTGTTTATTGCGATTACAGGTGGTTATAATTGATAACCGTTCAGTAGTATTCTAGGGGGATCCGTTGGTATTATTATCGGGACACACTGTCACCGTGGTCAGGGCGAAGTCATCATTAATGCATATTTGAAATGTCGGTAAACTGTTGTAGTGTGTTGAGTCCGCTTATCGATACACCAACTTCACGATCAGAACAAAGTATTATCAGATCCATTTACCTTGTTGTGAGTTTTACGTGTAGTAAAATGACCATGTGTAAATGTTTTGATTTTATAAAGGCCGATGTAGATGGGATGCTGGTGTACTAACAATGTAAATCAAAGACAAACCTTGTTTTTACTCATTTACAGTAAACACTTACCTACACGCGGTAGCAATAACATGACCCTTTTGTTGACACAGGGAATATGATTAACTATAAACGCATATGTTAGGTACAGGAATATTATTTTGATGTGTTTTTCTTTATATTCAAATAGTCTTTTAAAGACAAAATCATGTAGTTATCATTCTACTTTTTATATAAAGTGAAACTTTGTTGTCATTTACACAAATATATTTATTCGCCTTACGTTCCGCCAAAAGTATTTAAAAAAATCCTTTCTATTCAGCAGTTCTTTTAAAAGACTCACAATATGTCACCAAACCCCTTTATAACGCCAAACGTTTGCTTTACAAAAAACCGATACAATAATAGAGCTAGGCTCTACTGTTAATTGAATTGAATATGTTAAATTAATACAAGATATATAATGGTTTCCTGTTGAATGTCATGAACATTTTTAAAAGTATGGCAGAATACCGACATTTTCGCGATTGCAATCACGAGTATAAATACCGATGTTTATACATATTTACCTTATTTCAACAGACTCAAGGGTCCAAATATCTAAGTGATGATGATAACAAAAATGTGTTAACGTATGACGCATTAAGACAAACATGTTGTTAAAAGATAGATGACAGTGTAGCATAAAGTGGAAAATATTTTAAACATACTGCCTCTAAGCTAGATATCAAAGTAGACATAGTACATTAAAAGATACAGTCTAACTCACCCTTATTGGAACAAACGTTTCATTATAAATTCAAGCAATTGCACACTGTTTGATACAAAAGTTTTATAATATGATTATATATGATTGAAAGAGAAAACCATTAAGTTTTATCTAGTTCGGTTTTTAAGTATCGACAATGACGCAAAGGTTTCTGAATAAAACAATTGGAGCAATTAATAACGAAATC